CGGGGAAGACATGTAAGGTCTCAAAGGGCCATGGATACCCGGCTCTTTGGAGTGAACTGTTAATGTGTCTATTTAAAACCCAGAAGTGTTTTTCATTAATGCAGACTCCAGAGGGCTTCTCTGTAAACACCATTGTCTGCCTCCTCGGAATGGCCTTGTCCCTCTCCAGGCACCTTCCCACCTCCTCTGAATACACTGGCCCTTCCACTTAGAGCCCCTGTTCCCAGATCCTTTTGTCTTGAAGGCACTTTTGATTCTAGGTCCGCTTTCAATGCCACCGTCCTCTTGCCGTGTGTCTCAGCCACTCCTCGGACGGCTCCAGCTTCGTTGCTTGGATGCTTAGCTGCATATCTGTTTCAGCCCATGTTCCCTCTTCCCAGCCCCCACTACGCACTGCCCCTCTCTAAATGTCAAGCAGATTGGGGGGGGGATGTGATGATCCCTGGGTGACCCTGCTGCCTGGTGAGCCCATGGGGAGGAAGGGACAGGTTTAAGCCCAACCTCTTTTGTACACCGTGACTCGGTCTCCTTGGTGAGTGTCCTCCAGACCCAATATCAGAGCCATCAGGGATAGTCACGTCTTTTAGTGTCTACCTGACAGTGTCCACCCCCGTGCCACCCTGTTCCCTGCCCGTGTGACCTGGGAGGGTAAGGCTGTGTGCTTAGGTCTCCATGGAGCCCCAGGCTGCGCTCAAACAGCCTGTTGTTCTCAGCCACATGGGTGACATTATGTGTGTCCTCACATGTTTGTGGGACTCCAAGATCAGGCCATAGCCTCCTCCATGGGCCACTTTGTCTGTCTTCCCTCTGCTCGGTAACCATTGCGAACTTTCAAATGTAGGTCACAGTGGGCCACTGCCCTCAGTGGCTTCCAGGATACTGAGGGTAAATTGCTACTTATTTTGTTGTTTCCTATGCCCTGGCCACGCTCCACCTCAGGCAGCCCTTCTCACCTCAGGGCCTATGCGTTTGCTGGGCCTGCAAACGTGAAATGACCTCTGCTCCCTGCCCCACCCCTGCACGGCTGTCTATAATCTAGTTCTTTGCTTGGACGTCATCTGTGTCAAGCAGTCCCCATTCCTGAGACCTACCCTTTGATCAGGAATGCCCTTATTAGCATGACCCTTATTTGCATAACCCCTATTTGCATGACCCCTATTTACATGGCCTTGATTTGCATGGCAGAGACTGCACACTGGAAATTGCTTGGATAGTGGCTTCAACTGAACCTTGCCAAACTGCACTGGCCAAATCTGGCCTGTCCTCCTTGCTATAATGCGTATTATATGCCAAGAAACTGTACATGAAGAACTCACCCCAACCATAAAAAAATGCTTCTTCCAGAGGTTATTTTGTAGGTGTGAGGACTAGAACCCAGGTTCCCGGCACATGTGGCTACAGTAGTCTGTCTGCCCATAGTCCCAGCAACCCTAGAGTTAGAAATGGGGCATTCTCAAAGCTAGGTTATTAGCTGAACTAGTGAAGTTGGTGAGCTTTCATTTTGGATGAGAGATCCTGCTTCAGTGTGTAAGGTGACTGACATGTGTGTACCCAACACAAGTGGACTTACACACACAGCACTCTTTCTACTATAGCCCATGGCTCTACACTGTAGGTGGTGTTCTGGTACTAGTTAGTACTGTTGCTCTACACTCTATTCACTCCCCAGCCCACTCCATGCCCTGGGCTAAGGAGTGAATTCCTCCACCCCAACCTCCCCAGTCCCTGCCCCACCTCCCCAGTCCATCACAGATTGCATGGATGGCACCTCCGAGGTTGCACTACAAGGATGCACACCTGCACCCACAGGAGGCAGGCACCCTGTCACCCACCAGCTTCTGCCCACCAGCTGCGGACAAGCACCAGGGAGTCCCTGGGGCTCCTTGAGGCTCCCCAGGAAATTGTTCTCTGCCGGTTTCTGGTAATATTCCCAGCCTCATTCTCACCCCACTTACCCAGCTGAAGAGGAAGCAGCTCAGACAGCTGCAGAGCTGGGACTCTGGGCCGAGATGCATTAATTTGTAAATATCTTCATTTATATGTAAATGTGGAGCCCGGAGCCTCACCACCAGCCCTAATGGGGCCCTGCTGCCTGGCATTGCAGTAGCTCTTTCTTCACCGGCTGGGCATCAGGAGATGCTCCCAATGCTGTTAGATTTCACAGGTCTCCTCCTTCACTGTCTCCTGGCATCCCCTAAGCGTGGTGGCCCTGCTCCCTGGGGTACCCTCTGCTCAGGAGCTCCTGGTATCTCAGGGCTCAGAAACAAGGCTTTAGCAACCCGGCATGAACATGGGGGAAGAAAGGAGCCTGGGCCATGAGTCCTAAGACGGTGCTTAAATTGATGCTGCTGTGTGACTTTGGGCTAGTCCTGTACCCACTCTGGGTCTGGTTTTCATCAACTGTAGGAACAAAGAGGGCACCATGGTATAGGTGTAGGAGAAGGTGGCTTGAGGTCTGATGAGTTCATACCATTTCAATGGGAGGCCCTTGGCCTTACTAAACTTCGACTCCTTCTGTGAAATAAAATGCAGAGAAGGATGTAAAAATGTCACCTTTCCAAGTTCAAGGAGCTACTGGTGAGAAATGTGAGTTGCAAAAGAGTCAGTGTATACACAGGGACTTTAAGGGCATCTGGTGCAGGGTGGGGCTTGCCTTGTGGCGGGGACAGAGGGTTGTATGAAGCTTAGCGGTGAACATGCTCCTCTCAACTGTTTTTGACCCTGGGTTACCTGCTCACTGCGTGGAGCAGTCAGAATTTGACTTGGGGTAATTGGGCATCAATTGCTACCAAATTCCACAGTTACAGGAAGATTAATTTGGTCAGTCTGCTTTCCAGGGGGGTGGGGGGACTGGTTCAAGGTCCCTAGGTAAGCAGTGGCTGTGCTGGGATTTGAACCCAGGTCTTCATGTACCTGATGACTTTCTGAATGCTGGTGAGCAGGGGTGGGTGGAAGGATGGCTCCAAGATTTGTGTGTGGGAGTTGGGTTCCCTTCTGGCCAAGGGGAGGACCATGAAGCCACACCTGTGACTGGGAGAGGACTGGAAATGAGAGGATTCGCCAGTGCTGGGTGCTGGGTGCTGGGCTGCCCACCCCCTCCTGAGTCTGGGTTTAAGGAAACCTGGCTATAAGCCAAGAAGCCCCCTGCTGAGGGACTCTCTGTGGCTCCCAGGGCAGTGCTTATTTTCTTCTACAAAATGCTTTTTATCTCTGCTTTCATCTTTATGGTAACTGATTTATCCTTGGCATGTGTTCCTTTTCAGAAGAAGGGAAAACACAGAGAGGCACCTGCCTGCCTCCTGCCAGCCCGGGGCACTCTCGTTTTCTGCGGGTGCTCTGGGAAAGAACAGCTGGGACTGAGGTCCTAGGTCAGGGCTTGAGAAGGGGAGTCTGGACAGAGGCCATCAGGGGTCCCAGCCACCTTGCCTTCACTCAACAGGTAGGAGGTCCCAACTACATGCAGAGCCAGTGATGCCTTTTGCAAACAAAACAAAACAACAACAAATGACTCCTGTTCCATTCTGTAATTTTACTCTCATTGCAAACCGAGGCCTCCAACCACATAGAGCATATCCAAGGCCTTCTGGGTCCATTCTTTTTGCAAATTCTGTCACACATTGACTTGTGACCAGGCCTTGGCAAAGGAAGAGGGCTAAGAACAAAGGGAGCTGTAGGTGAAGGTCCCAGTTAAGGGGTGGAGCCTTGGTCATGTCAGGACTCAGAGTCTAAAGTCTGTGTGACTTCAGATGCTGGGTGTCCCTGCTGCCCCACAAACCTGGTGTAACCATGTATGTGTCCACAGGCTCTGTCATCTGTTGTTCCCGGCATGGGTTGTGTCAGAGCACTGCCTTCCGAGAACACCAGGCAAAGCAATTACCATGCGTGCGTGCATGCATGAGCGCATGCGCATGCGCATGCAGCGTGCGTGTGTGTGTGTGTGTGTGTGTGTGTGTGTGTGTGTGTGTGTGTTCATACCCAATATCACTGTGAAACTATTTCACACAGGCCATAAGATCCCCTTACTGGAGGAGGTTAGGGGAGGGTGGGGACTGAAGGGAGCCTCCTCTGCTATCCAGCCTAGGGAGATCTCATCTGTTAACAAGTTGGTCAGATGGAACTGCCTAAGTGGGGTTCTGAAGGCTGAAGAGGAGTTTACCAGGTGACTGAAGGTGGGAAAGGCCCTCTGGCAGGAGAGACTAACATGCATAAAGGGTCAGAGGAATAAAATACAATGGGGGTCTTTGGGGCATGTGTAGGGCTGTGGGTACCTACATATGTAGAGTTTGTTGGGCTCCACTGTGAGGCTGAATTGTCTTGGCTCTGCAGTCCTTTAGAAAAACAGGGGAGGGCTTCTCTCCCCTCATCCCGCTGCCCCTGACCTGGGAGTCCAGGTGTCCTCCACTTGGGGCTTTGTGACCTTACAGATTCTGGGGGGACATGGAATGTGTTATGTGTGTTTTCAGGCTGGGAAGAGCTGATTCACCTCCCAGCTCTGTCATTCAGGGCTGTGTGACTTTAGGCACAGCTCTTGCCCTCTCTGGACCTCAGCATCCTCACCGGCAAATGAGATCTGTGAAGCCTACCTTGCACGACCATAGGAGGAGCTCCGGCTTCATCTCTTCCGGCCTCTTCCCTCCAGGGCTGGGCTCTACTTCTGCAGAGAGGCCCCAGCTCACAGAGGGAGTGCATCCTCTAAGATCCACCTTCCTAACGCTGCCACCCTTTAATACAGTTCCTCATGTCGTGGTGACCTCCCCCCCCATAAAATTATTTTCATTGCTACTTCATAACTGTGATTCTGCTGTTATGCTTCTCAGGGTATACATCTGCTATGCAGTTTATCTGATATGCAACCCCTTCGGAGTGGGGAGCCATGACCCACGGTCGAGAACCACTGCCCAAGAGCATCTAGGGGCTGCTGACAGGGCTGGACAAGCCACCCCCCTGGCCCAGCCCCGCCCTCTTGCCGCTCGCATGCTTGCCAGCTCGGGTAGTCTCACCTCACAGTGGACTGGTACACAAGATCCTCCCTCTTCCGGTAATTCTCCATGTGTGAGTAGTTGGTGGAGAACATGGCGTCAAAGGTGAAAATCTTCTGCTTGATGGTGCCACCATCTGTCACCTGTCAGAGCAGAGGAGTCACAGGTGAGTGCCCAGCCAGCCAGGATCACCGCTTTCCTGTGGCGTTCCCTTGGCCTGTCCTTGCCTTTGCTCCTCCCTCCCCTCCGCTGAGGAAGATTCCCATCCAGATTCACAGAGGCACAGCTGCCCCCCCTTGTCCCGCCCCGCCCCACCCAGCCCTGCCCCTCCGTTATCCACGGAGGCTGCCTGGCTGATAGCCTTCACAAGACCTCCCTGGTCCTTGAATCCAAGACCCCACTGACACCAACGGCTTAGGAATTAAAGAGCCATGGGGCCTATGAGAGGGCTCAGCAGAGGAAGGAGCTTGTAGCCAAAGCCTGACCAGCTGAATTTGATTCCTGGGTTTGACGTGGGGAAAGAGAACCAACTCTGGCCAGTTGTCCTCTGACCTCCGTACGCACCGTGGCATGTACATAATCACACCTGCACATGCACAGATAAGTAATTAAGTAAAATAAACAATTAATAAAAAAAGGATAGCAGTCTCTGGCCCCAGGAGGCCAAGCTCATTACCACATCCTGGAGCAGAAGCAGACAGAAGACATGTGTGTCGATGACAAAGAGCACCCCACACAGGGCTTTCCTGCCACGTTCCCCCTCCCTCTTGCCAAGCCCTGCGGAGCTCCAGGCAACAGCCAGCCTGTGAGTAAACCTGGCCCCGGCCCACCAGTGCCAGCCAGAGCATTGGATTCTGAGCAGCGAGCTGCTGGACTTTCAATTCTGCAAACACTGGGGGGGCCTTCTGAGGCCCTGAACGCATGGTGGGGCAGAGCTAGCAGCTTCCCACCCTGGGTCTTTCCAGGTACCAGGAGATCCTACCACGACGAAGGCTCTGCTTTGCAGAAATGGTGCGTGTGACCTGGGCAACTGGGGCAGGACCAGAATGGGCTTTGTAGAGTGAGCTATGTAGGGGAATCAGGGCCTGGTCCCAGATCCTAGAGAGAAGGAAGGGGAGGGGACAGGCTAAGTAGCAAGAGGGGGAGAATGGAAGGCCAGGGGACCATCTGCATGCAAATAACTCTTGGAAAGGCAGATAAGCTGTATTGCCACTATTTCTGCTTTTTAGTGTACTTATTAGTATTGTGTATGTGCACATGCTGTGTGTGTGTGGGGTACTGTGGAGGATAGTTGGAGAGTCATTCCTCTCCTCTACTATGTGGGTTCTGGGATCAGGCTCCATCGCCAGGCTTGAACAACAAACATTTTTACCAGCCCAAGGCATAACACATTTCCGCTAAATCCTGACAGCATAGGCTCGGAATGGCATGGGAATCCAGAGGAGGGGAAAGGCTGCTTTCTGAGGGTGGGGAGCGCCCACAAGGACATCTTGGAGGATGCGAAGTTGAAGCTGTTTCTACAGGAGGCGCAAGAGTCAGCCTGGCAGAGCAGGTGGCAGGAGCCAAGGCAAGAAGCAGGGGGGGATGGGCTCAGCTGCCTCTGTGTAACTGACTGTTTAGAGTGCCTGGAGCAAGAGGGAGGGGACCCAGAGGATCCTGACAACAGAGTGCCACCACTGAGGACCCATGGACAAAGCAATGCCCTGCCCTGCTGCAGGCACCAGTCACGAGGTTCAGATTTGGGTTCTGCTCATAGCCTTCCCTGGTCTTCCAGAAGCAAGCCTAATGGGGAGGCAGGACCAGAAGCAGACACCCAGGGATGGACAGAAGGCATCTGTCAGCATGGGACACTTGCTTTTGTTTTCCTGGAGCCACCCGTGGGACAGTCTCTAGGAGGAGGCCACAAGGTCTCCATTCCACCCGAGTGCATGGAAGCTGGGGAAGCAGGGGACCCCAGGGGGTGACGGTCAAGTCAGTGTTAGGGCACAGGTTGCTGCAGGGTCCTGCTGTTCACAGCTGATGAAGAGCCAGGCCCAAGTGTCAGGGGCTCCCTGGCAGCAGTCGCCCGAAGCGCACGCCCGGTCTCCACCACCGCCTCCCTAATGAAAGTGTTACTACCCCACAAAGCAGCAAGGTATGTGTTGTCACCGTTTCAATTATTTATCTGTTTACTCGGCTGCAGTTTTCCGCTTGTCTCAGCAACTCTATTATAGACCGTGAGCTTGCAGCCTCTCGCCGCTCAGCTGGGCTCCCCACTAACAGCCTGCGACAGGGCGGCCTCATGCCTGGGCCTGGAGAAGCGGAATTAACTCCCTGTGGCTCCTCCAGTGGAAGCGGGGGAGGGGGCTGCCGGGGCGGTGGTCAGGGATGGGGAGATGCTGAGAGTGGCTTCCCCAAGCGTCTGTCCCTGAACCTAGGAGGACTGGCCTCGTCCACACCCAGGCTGCCTTTGGCTACATCTTGGTGGTTTAGTAAACACACACATTTGGTGCAACCCAGCTGGCATCTATCAGGCACTGACTGTGGGTCATGCATCGGACGCATCTGTTACCTGCCCCATAGACTAGGAGCGGCCAAGAGCAAGGACACCTCAGTGAGTGCCAGTGGTAGGTGGAAGGATGCTAACACGCTCATGGGTTTTGTGACTCTGAGTGGGATCAGCGGTAGGACTTCCCCCTGACTGGTTTTCCTCTCAGCCCTCACCAGGCCCATCTGCCTCTCATCGCCATTCCAGACTTATCTAGCTCATTACTTGGCCCATTTCCCTCAGAACCCAGCTCTTTTGCTCTCATCTGTGTAGCTTGAGGACAGAGAGATAGGACTCCTTGCCTCACCTGCCATCAGATTCCAGAGTGAGATGGCAGTGTGGGGGAGGAGAGCTGCGGTGTGTGCGAGGAGGTGGCGTCTCGCTGGCACGTGGGTCCATGCTGGCATTTGCCTGGGAAGGACACCCTTTGGGGATAGCCGCAGCCTGCTCTGAGGCTGATGTCTTAACCAGGGCATGCCCCACGGTGGACTGAGCCGGACTGGTACAGGGTCTGGGGTGGGCGGGCCCGAGTGACTTGACTGCTTTCCAAGTCAGAACAAACTTACAATTGTATCCCTGCCTGGGGTGGGCCCACCACTCCCCTCTTCCCAACCCTTCAAGGATGCCTTGACCCCTTAGAGATGTCAAGGTACTTTTCAACTGGGGCCTTCAACTGGGAGACAATTCTATTTATTTATTTTACTATTTTATGGGTATGAGTGTTTCTGCTGCCGGTATGTCTGTGCGTCATGTGCATGTAGTGCCCATGGAGGCCAGAAGAGGGCACTGTATCCCCTGGAAACTGGAGTCACAGATGGCTGTGAGCTGCCACCGGAGTGCTGGAGACAGAATCCAGGTCTTCTGCAAGAATAGCAAGTGGTCTTCATTGCTGAGTCACCTGTCCAGCCCCTGGGAGACAGTAATGACCCCTTCTCTACCAGGGGACATGGCATATTCTGGAGATAGGCTTGGTAGTCACCGTGAGGGTCCTGGCATGTAACTGACCCTTTTGATGAAGAGGACACACCTCAAACATTCCTCAGCAGACACACTGAGATTGGCATGGGGAGGTAGCTTAATCCCCAGCACATAGTAAAAGAGCTGAGCATGGTGGCCCCTGTTTGTAATCCAAGCACAAGGAGAGGTAGAGACAGGAGGCTCCTGGGGCCTCTCTAGTCATTGAGTCTATCCTAATCAGTGAGTGCCAGCTTAAAGCCCAAGATGGAGGAATGACGAAAGGTTAGCCTTTAAGGCATGCACACGTCTGCACTCACACCCACCTACACACACAAACACACACATGAACATGTACGCATACAAACATGCCTGTATACATGTGCACATACCTGCACATATACATAAACATACATACATAAATGTATATTAGTGTGCCTTCACATACCATGAACATCTAAGTACATGTGCACACATACGCGAAGGAACATGCGTACCTATACACATGTACACACATACCTGCGTGCGCGCACACACACACATACATGTCAAGGCTGGAAATCCCATCTCTCATCTGCGTGCCTCCCTCCCATGCCCTGGGAAGACAACACAGTGGGTGATAACATGTCACTTTGCAACTGAAGACACTACTGAAGCTCTACACCGGGGCCATCACCCGCTGCCTACCCTGCCAGCTGGCAAGGCTGCCTGCCTGCCCCTTGGCTTCACCTTGCATGTCATCTGCCGCATGAGAAAGGCGGGCAGTTAGTCCCCCAGAAGCCCTCTGGCTCCAGCCTTGTATACCTTCAGGTAGAGCTTTTTATCTCCTTCTAAAATTCGCAGCCCTCATCGCCCCAATCTCAAATTTCACTCCATTTTTTTTTATTACACAACAGAGAAAAAAAATCTGTCAGTAAAACTGTCTCCTCAAATTTATTCGCCAGGACTGAGGGTTTTATGACTAGGAAAATACACTCGCCCCCCACACATCCACACACCCCCACACCCCAGATAAAGCAAGGAAGAATTACCTGAGCCATAAATCCCTACTGCAGGCTGAGGCATAGGAGAGCCTCAAGGACGAGCCTGCTTTTCTTTGGTTTTATTTACTTTTTTTTCCTTTTTCTTGTATTTGAGACAGTGTCTAGCTAGCTGTGCTTCCAACTTCCAAGTGTGAGTAGTGCCTCTGCCTACGGAACCACTGCGATTTCAGGTATCACACCTAGTTCTTAGTTACAGCATTTTCCCCTGGGACAGTGTGCAAACTGGCCTTTTTTATCTTGACTGTCAGCTGGGGACAGGGGACCGATGTTTAGAGCACTGCCTGCCCTGGGAGACTATGATGCGCTCATTGGTCAGAGGTTCTGAGGTGAGGCTGGCCCGTAAGCTGTGGGAAAGGGTGGAAGGTGTATGAGACACAGGCACAGTTTCTGTCCTCAGGGAAGATCCACAGCCCATCACGCTCCATTCTGGACCTGGTGGGGGCAGAGCTCGGTCCACAGCTGTCTGGAAGTCATGAGTGGAGAGAGCAGGTCTGCAGTGACAGGCATATACCAAGAGCTACCCATGATGCTCCTGGAGGTGCAGACTTCCTTGGGAGGGAAGGCGATTGGAGAAGTCTTGGAGTTATGTAGGTTCAGGTAGGCTGGTACGAGGAGCATC